TTTCCATTCCTTTGGGTATACACCCAGCAGCAGGATTGCTGGATCACACGGCAGTATTATCTGTAGTAGTTTGAGGAAGCCCTGTACTGTTTTCCATAATGGCTGCACTAATTTACAGTCCCACGAGCAGTGCAGGAGTTTCCCCATTCTCCACATCCTTGCCATAATTTATTATCTGTCTTTCTGATAATGGCCAGTCTAACTGGCATGAAATGGTATCTCAGTGTGGTTTTGATTTGCATTTCCCTGATGCTTAATGATGTTGAACATTTTTTCATGTGTCTGTTCGTGATTCGTATATCTTCCTTTGAGAAATGCCTATTCAGCTCCTTTGTCCATTTTTTAACTGAGTTACTCGTTTTTTTACTATTAAGTTGACTTCCTTGTATATTGTGAATATTAACACCTTGGATGCATGGTTTGTGAATATTTTCTACCATTCCACAGACTGTCTTTTCACTCTGTTAACAGTTTCTTTTGCTGTGCAGAAGCTTTTTAGTTTGACATAATCCCATTTGTTTATTTCTTCTTTTGTTGCTTTGTGTGTGTGTGTGTGTGTGCTTTTAAGGTCTTCTTCATAAAGTCTTTGCCCAGTCATACTTCCTAAAGTGTTTCCTCTATGTTTTATTTTAATAGTTTTATAGTTTCGGGTCTTATATATGTGCTTAACCCATCCTGAGTTGGTTTTGGTATTTGGTAAGAAGTACAAGTCTAGTTCCATTCTTCTACATGTGGATGTCCAGTTTCCCCAGCACCACTTAGTGAAGAGGCAGTCCTCTCCCCAACCTATGCTCCTGCTGTCCTTCTCAAATGTCAGTTGGCTGTATATATGTGTGTTGATTTCTGGGTTCTCTATTCTGTTCCATGTGTCTGAGTTTCTGTTTTTATGCCAGTACCATGCCGTTTTGGTTACTATAGCTTTGTAGTACAATTTGAAGTCAGGAAGTGTTATGCCTGTGACATTTTTTGTTGTTGTTATTCAGGATTTCTTTGGCTATTAGGGGGCTCTCTGTTGTTCCATATGAATGTTAGGATTGTTTTTTCTATTTCTGTGAAAAATAGTATTGGTATTTTCATGGGGATTGCCTTGAATCTGTAGTTCACTTTGAGCAGTATGGACATTTTCACAATGTTAATTCTTCCAATCCAAGAGCATGGAGTGTCTTTCCACCTTTTCATGTCCTCTTTAACTTCTTTCAGCAGAGGTTTGAAGCTGTCATTACAGAGATCTTTCACTTCCTTGGTTAAATTGACTCCTAGGTATGTTATTTTTTAGTGACTATTGTAAATGGATTTTCGTGATTTCTTTTTCTCCTAGTTCATTATTGGAGTATAAAAATGCTACTGATTTTTGCATATTGATTTTTTCCTCCTACAACTTTAATGAAATCATTTATCAGCTCTAAGAATATTTTTTTGGGGGGGTAGACTTTAGGTTTTCCTAAATATAGGGTCATGTCATCTGCAAACAGGGACAGTTTGACTTCGTTTTTCCAATCTGGGTGTCCTTCATTTCTTTCACTTGCCTGATTGATCAATATTATGTTAAACAGGAGCAGTGACAGTGGTCGGCTTTGTCTTGTTCCTGATATTGGTGGTCTTTACTGTGTTAAGACACTTTCCTTCTATACCTAATTTGCTGAGTCTTTAGCATGAACAGATGTTGAATCTTATCAAATGCTTTTTCGGCATCTATTGAGATAATCACATGGTTTTTCTCCTTGATTTTTATTGACCTGTGTATGTGAACCATCCTTGCATCCCTTGGATGAATCCCACTTGATCATGGCGTATAAATCTTTCGATGTGTTACTATATTCTGATTCCTAATATTTTGATGAGGAGTTTTGCATCTATGTTCATCAGATATTTTGCTCTATAGTTTTTTGTTGTTGTATCTTCATCTGGTTTTGGTATAAGGGTGATGCTCGCCTCATAGAATGAGTTTGTGAGAATGGCCTCTGTTCCAATTTTTAGTAACAGTTTGAAGAAATTGATATTAATTCCTCTTTAAAGGTTTGGTAGAGTTCAGCAGTAAAGCCATCCAGTCCTGGGCTTTTCTCTTTTGGGAGACTGCTGATTACTGCTTCAGTCTCATTGCTTGCTATTGGTCTGTTCAGGTTTCCTATTTCCTCTTGTTTCAGTCTTGGTATTTGTATGTGTCCAAAACCTTACCCATTTCCTCCAGGTTTTCAAATTTGTTGGTGTATAGTAGTTTATTACAGTCTCTAATGATTCTTTGTATTTCTGCAGTATTGGTTCTAGTGTGCCCTTTCTATTTCCTCTTGTTTCAGTCTTGGTATTTGTATGTGTCCAAAACCTTACCCATTTCCTCCAGGTTTTCAAATTTGTTGGTGTATAGCAGTTTATTACAGTCTCTAATGATTCTTTGTATTTCTGCAGTATTGGTTCTAGTGTGCCCTTTTCATTTCTGATTTTTGTTATCTGGGTCTTCTCTCCTTTTTTTAGTTAGGTTAGCTAATGGCTTGTCTATTTTGTTTATCTTCTCAAAAAAACCTTTTTGTTTCATTGATCATTTGTATCACTTTTTGGGTCTCTATTCTATTTCATTTAGCTCTGCTCTGATCTTCATTATTTCTTTCTGTCTACTAATTCTGGAATTGGATTGTTCTTGTTTTTCTAGTTCTTTGAGGTATAACATTAGGCTGTTTTTATGAAATCTTTCTATTCTTTTGATTTAAGTGTTTATTGCAATGAACTTCTCTCTTAGTGCTGTCTTTGCAGTATCCCAAAGGTTTTGGTATGATGTGCCTTTATTTTTGCTAATTTCAAGATCTTTTTTGATTTTCTGTTTAATTTCTTCCACCACCAATAGGTCATTAAGGAGAGTTTTATTTAATTTTTACATAGTTCCCAGAGTTTTGCTTGTTATTCATTTCTAGTTTTAATCTATTGTGGTCTGAAAAGATACTTGAAATGATTTCAATCTTTTAAATTTGCTGAGACTTGATTTGTGACCTAACATGTGGTCTATCCCAGAAAATGTTCCATATGCTGATGAGTAGAATATACATTCAGTAGTTGCTGGATAAAACATTCTGTAGATATCTGCCAGGTCCAATTGGTCTAAGGTATAGTTTAAATTCTGTGTTTCTCTATTCATTTGTTGTGTAGATATGTCCAGTGTTGAGAGAGGGATAGTCAGGTCCCCTACTATTATAAATTAGCATCCATCTCTTTCTTTAGGCCTAATTATGTTTGCTTTATATATCTGGGTGTTCTGGTGCTGGGTGCACATATATTTATGATTGTTATGTCTTCTAGCTGGATAGATCCATTTATCATTATAAAATGGCCTTCTTTGTATCATTTTATGGTTTGGGATTTAAAGTGCTTTTTTATCTAATATGAGAACAGCTAGTCCTGCTCATTTTGTGTTTCCATTTGAGTGGTATATCTTTTTCCATCCCTTCACTATTAGTCTGTGTGTCTCTTTACAGGTGAGGTGAGTCTCTTGAAGACAGCATAGAGTTGGGTCTACCTTTTTAATTCAATCAGTCAGTCTGTATCTTTTGAGTGGGGAGTTTAATCCATTTACATTTAGGTTTGTAATTGAAAGGTATTGTCTTACTCCTGGCATTTTATTAATTTTCATTTGGATGCTTTAATTATCTTTTGTTCCTTTCTTCCTCTTCTGTATGTCTTTGATGTTTATTGGTTTTCTGAGGTGGTAAGACTTAGTTTCTTTCCCTTTCTTCTTTCCATTTTTGTTCTACCAGTGGGTTTTGTTCTTTCTTGTGTATTCACAGTAGTGATTATAATTTTTCAATTTCTAGATGCAGGACTCCCTTGAAGATTCACTGCAGGGCTGGTTGTGTGGTGATGAACTCCTGTAGTTTTTGTTTGTTTGGAAAATACACTATTTCTTCCTCATTTCTGAAGGATAGGCCTTGCTGGGTATATTATATTTGGCTGATAGTTTTTTTTTTCTTTTAGTATTTTGAATATGTTATCCCATTTTCTTCTGGCCTGTAGAGTTTCTGTTGAGAAGTCTGCTGTTATTCCAATAGGGGCTCCCTTATAGGTGACTTGATGCTTTTCTCTTGCTACTTTTAGGATTTTCCCTTTGTCTTTGAGTTTTACCAGTTTGACTATAACGTGTCCTAGAGAGGATCTTTTTGGATTGAATCTGTTTGGGAATCTTTGGGCCCCCTAGAGCTGAAGGTCCATGTCTCTCCCTATATCTGGGAAGCTTTCCTTTACTATTTCATTGAATAGGTTATTAATGCCTTTCCTTTCTCCTCCCTTTCTGGAACACCCATGATTCAAACATTAGTGCACCTAAGGTTGTCTGTTAGTTCTCTCAGATTTTCTTCATTTTCATTCTTTTGAATTCTTTTTTCCTTTTTTTTTTTTTGTCTGCCTGGGTTATTTTTAAAAGGCTATTTTGAAGATGAGAAATTCTTCTGCTTGTTCTAGCCTGCTGTTTAAGCTATCAGTTGTGTTTTTTATTTCGTTGAGTGAATCTTTCAGTTCCACAAGTTCTATTATATTCTTTTTAAAGGTATTACTCTCTCTGTAAATTTTCTCCTTCATGCCCTGGATTTTTTCACATTTCATTATGTTGTCTGACTGAATCTTCTCATATCTCATTGAGTTTCCTTAAAATTGTTACTCAACATTCTTTTTCTGTCATTTCAAGTGTTTCCTGCTCTATAGCGTCTGATATTTGAGAATTACTATATTCTTTTGATGGTGTCATATTTTCTTGGTTTTTCATATTTCTAGTACCTCTATGTTGATGTCTGGTCATCTGATAGAGCAGTTGCTTCTTCTATTATTCTGAAGTGGGCTTTGAGGAGACAAACATCCTCTTCTTTTTTCAGTTTCCACTGGTGACTCTCCTTGTGTCAGTGCAGTCAAGTGGGAGGCAGGCTGCCTTCATGGTGGCTGTGGCTACTACCATGGGGGTGAGCCACCCTTGTGGCAGCAATGGCTGTGGCAGTGGTTGTGGTGGACCATCCAGGCAGAAGTGGTGTTTTCATTGTGCTCCTGCCTTCTGCCAGTCAGAGGGGTGCTGCCCACGGCTCCTGCTTTGACCCCATGCATGCTCCTGCCTTCTGCCAGGCAGGGGGGGCTGTCCATGGCTCCTGCCTAAGACTCTGTGCTGGCTCCTGCCTTTTGCTTGGCAGTGGGGTCTGTCCATGGCTCCTGACTAGGACCCTGTGTATGCTCCTACCTTCTGCTGGGCAGTGGAAGCTGCGGACGGCTCCTGCCCTGGTGGATATTTTTCAAAAAGTCATTTATTCTGGAGACTTCCAAAAATGGAATGTTCTTTCATTCATTCATTCAACAAATATTGACAGTGCAATGTGTGCCAGAGACTATACTATACTAGGCACTGGAGAACTAACAAACATGCGGGTTGTTATAATAATTTGGAAAAAATCCCTACAGGCACACCTGAAAGCCAAGTATTAATAAGTACACTGTCTAAAAGGAATTTTTTTAAACACACCCAGAAAATCACAATGATGTGCTGGGTCACAAAAGCAAACTCTTAATGGAGATAGATAAAAGGAATATACAAAAATCTCTTAGGTTTAAAATCATGAAGCATGGGGTATTGGAATTGAAAGAGAGCTTATACAACTCTCACTTGGTAGTTGATAAAACTGCCAATAACAGAGATGAGCCTAGAGTCCAGGTGCTATAATTCTTTTTACTCCAATGATACAGGAAAGAGTTTCCTGCAAAGAAGCTCCTCATCACAACACGTGATTATCAAGAGTCTATACGAGAAGTGAATCACCCATTATTTCTTAGAAACATTTCCTAAATGTGACTGTACCATAATAGAAAGCTATTTGAGCTAGACTCAAAACTATGTTTATTCTCACTATGGGTTAAAAATGCCCTGACATTTAAGAAAGGTCTCAAATACAAACTAATTATAATTATAATCTGGGAAAGGATCACAAAACCAAGTACATTCTTTTCTGGTTTCCTACAGGCCTTGGTTCATATTCATGTCCTATATCACCCTGTGTCTCTCTCTCTCACTGAACTCCTCAAGAGCTTCTTAATCTTGGTATCCTTATAGCATTATAGTCACAGTTCCTGCAACACAGTGGGAGCTCAATAATTGCTTGCTGATAATCTAAGTCATGACTGCATGAAAACTTTTAAATATCAGTTTTGACAGATGGCATATGAATAAGCAAATGTTCATGGACATCTACTATGTATATGTGTAGGGCTCTGTGGGATACAGTGCAGTCTGAGCCATGTGTCCAGGCTGCCAACAGACCAGCTGGAAAGAAATGATATACTGTTTTACACTTTTTAAGTCATTAAAAGGTGTTAAATAACAGTTTAGGACAGGGGGAGGCAGATTTCAGCCAGCCTGCCAAATGTGGTCCACAACATGTATTTTTACAGCCTAAGAGCTAAAAATGGTTTTCAGTTTTAAATGGTTACATTTTAAATGGTTATACTCCTATAATTACCTAGAAAATCTGTAATTGCCTTTTGACACACAAACCCAAAAATATTTATGCTCTGGCCCTTTATGAAAAAGTTTTGTCAATCCCTGGTTTAGGACAATAGAAGACGCATAGAATAAAATAAGAATAATGTTAAATAAAAATTATAAGAGGCCATTGTTTTAAACTAAGTTCGTGAACTAGGCCCCATTGAACAAACTAAAAATCAAAATGGAGTCACCCCTGCTAAGTTCCAAGTCACTTAGGTTGTAGTCTGACGTAAGAAATCAGGATAGAGAGATACAGCCAATTTCCCTGAACTAGCTAGTTTAATTCTTCAATAGGTATGATAATGAAGTTCCCTCTGCTTTAATCCTTACACAAAAGAGACAGTCTGAAGTAACCTGATGCTAACTAGTCAGTTATTTTTCTCTCATTCTGTCTTCCTGTTCCCACCTTACAAGAAAAGTAACTTTGAAATGACTAATCTGCTTTTTGTTCTTTGTTTCTGCTTTCTTCAGCCCTTTTCTGTCTATAAAACCAACCTCCTCTGCTCAGCTCAGTGGAACACTTATTCTATCTTATGGAATGATATGTTGCCCACTTCTAGAATCGCAATAAAGCCAATTGAGATATTTAACTAAATTTATTATAATTTTGTTTGCTGACAATAATCATTAAACTGTATTGGAAATATAGCATTGTAAAACTGGAGACACTATGGGAAGCTTTATAAAAGAAGAATGAGAGTTGGGCTGGTACCAAAAAAATAACAAACAATAAAAAACAAAGTTCAAAGAAGGTACACACTTAGCACAATTTTTAAAAGTGGAAAGAATTAAAGGTCACATGTAGTTAATTTGTGTTACCAGGCACCAATACAACAAGTTAGTTTTCATGACATAAAATGGTAACTCAACACAGTGCCATAGAATCAGATTACATTAAAAAATTATAAATAAATGTCCAAAAATGAATCATATTTCAAATATATTACCAACCCCAATATAATCGATGTCCAAATCGTGATAACGCTTGGCACCCACAATCCAAGTCACAACATAGTAGGCAGTCAGCTGAAGATTTACATAAGGCCAGTTGAAACCTTTTCCCAGCCATCCAGGGAATGACCATGGCAATCCTGCAGAGAGAAAGGAAGAGACAAAGATGGAGGGGGTATGACAGTGCTGGCACTATTGAAAACAAAACAAAATAAACAAAACAAAAAAAGCCACTGAGCAGCCAAGGAAAAGTCAAAATAGATCTGCCTGAAAGAAAGATTATATATCACACACAAATTCGAGAGAAAGGAAGAGACAAAGATGGAGTGGGTATGACAGTGCTGGCACTATTGAAAACAAAACAAAATAAACAAAACAAAAAAAGCCACTGAACAGCCAAGGAAAAGTCAAAATAGATCTGCCTGAAAGAAAGATTATATATCACACACAAATTCTTGAAATGCCTTTTATCTATGGACACTGTAATTCCTTATTGATCCCTAAAGTCAGGTCCCATAATTCAAAATGTTCTTTCAAGAAAACAACAAAACAAAAACATAAAACAAACGCCCCTCTCTAAGATATTTACCAATAGAAAGAAATGTACCATACATTTTAACTTAACATCTCCACTATCTGTTGGGATATTTAATATTCAATTTCTGTTCTCTGAGACCAAATTAAGGAATTCTGAAAGGTTTATGCTAATCTACTCCTATGATGTAAGTATAACAAATTTCTCATTCACTAGTACATCTTATTACTATTCAAGGCTACTTAAAATATTAAGCAATCAAATTTAGCAAAACTAGTTTGTCCTTATATAAATATAAATGCCAATGACTTAAAATATACCTTTGTTAAATGATATAATTAAATAAGTTCATATTCTTCCAATAACCCTGATTATGCCTTTTAAGTAATAAAAAGAGTAGAAAAGCACTAGTTACAATTCTAAATCCTAATTCTGTTAATGATATATTAAAATAAGCTCAACAGTTAAGTTCTGTAGCTGTTAAATATATCACCAATCTAGTTTCCCACTGAAAAAATCAAAATCAAAATGAGAAAATGCTTATTTTTCTAAAATCCGGAGGAATCCCAAAGTGTATTACACAAGAAATGTGACATTACAATAATGGAACATTTGAAAACAATGAAATGCTAAACACAATCTGAAGGCTCACCATGTGTAAGTCTTTGTTAGGATATGGTTTAGAATGCCAGATTTTCTACATTTAAATCAGGTCTGACTATGGAAGCAGCCCAGTGGGTGAGTCTGTGCTGAATTCAGTGATGCTTTTACCGCTCTTTTAATCTCTTTTAAAAGAGATTAAAATCTGGAATCTCTTTTAAAAGTCCATTTAGAGATAATATACTCACTCCTCATTTTTTTTTTATTTCGAAAATATTACTCTTACCTTCAATTTGATTGTTGAGAAAATTTTTAAAATAACTTGAAATCAAGTTGTTAAAATGGATCATTAATTTCACTTAGCCTGAATGTAAGCCTGTTTCAAAAAATCAAATTCATTTCAAATGATGAAAGCATCCCACCACTCTGGATGTTTGAAATATTTCACAGGCTCTGTATTCATTGCTACAGAACTTTAAAATGAATATAGTCCCATCTGAGGAATTATCCTGCTACTAGAACCTAAGCCCCAGAGGGCGGGAATTGGGGACTGGACTGTTCAGCATCCTTGGTCCCTGGAACAGTGACCAGCACATCACTGAGGTTCAAAAACAAGGGCTGGCCCGGTGGCGCACTGCTGTAGTGCGCCGCTTGGGAAGCACGGCGGCCCTCCCGCCGAGGGTTCGGATCCCACATACAGACCGGTTCCCGCTCACTGGCTGAGCGAGGCACGGGAGCAACACCGAGGGTTGCGATCCTGTTGCCGGTCCGGTACGGGGGCGACACTGAGGGTTGCGATCCGTTGCCGGACACGGAAAAAGACAAAAAAAAAAAAAAAACACTTTTGTACATACCTCTTTTAAAAATGGGGTCTACTACTCCATGTAACATGTAATGTTGTAACTACTTGGCATGTCTCATAGCATGTAATATACAATTTGGTAAACAGTATTACCCTTTTACAAATATTGATGAGATTTTGTAGAGAAAAGTACCTTAGCATCACAGGAAACTAAAAAAAAAAAGAAAAAAAAAAGAAAGAATGGAATTAGGTTCTAAACCTGATTTTGCCATTTACTGTCTTTTGACCTTAGGTCAGTGACATAACCTCTCTAAGCCTTCACTGCTTCTTTTGCAAAATGGGAAGAGAAATGCCCCTACACCAGAGGTATAATAAAGATCTGACAAAACATTCAAGGGCAAAAAACAGATAATGCCTGGCACATGCTTTGCTGCTGGTGGCATACTGGTAGCATTAACGACATTAGTACTTCAGTATTAAGAGAGACTCCACCAATGTGAGTTAGAAGTTAAAAGTTAAAGGAAAAGAGAATATAGAAGCATTGCAAATTTCACTTCCTACCAATAAGTATAATATCAGGGTTCCTCTTCTTTGCTTCCTTCATTAACCACCACTCATATCCTCGAAAATAATCCTCATCTAGTACATAATGCATGTGGGAGGGTTCAGTGCCATCTGAATAGAAGAGAGCAAAAGAAGAAAATGATCCATGAACGATGCTTCCTAGAGCCACTCCCTCCTACACACACACACTTCACAAAAGTAGTACTCAAGTTCCAATCTTGGAGTTGGGCAAATACAAATAATCTTATATAACTGAGGACAGATGATCAAAGCATATAATTTCCCCTTTTTCATTTTACTAAGCACTGTAAAGTTCTTAAATAATAAAAGCACAACTTCCTATCACAAGCAGTATTAAGAAAATTTTTATCACCTTATATAACTGAAAATTCCTAGTAGTGCATTCTGCAGGGCTCTGGATCTCCCTGAGGTTTTTAAATCCCCATGTCCAACTCTAAATTCACATTACCCTCAACTACAAGCTTCTCAATTCTGGATGTGAATCCCAGGACTCCTGAGCCCCAATTCTCATACCCCACACCTTGAGAATATAACATATCTTCATTTAGCAAGAGTTTCAAGAAAAAAAAGGAATGAGTACACATTCCCTGTTGGGAAAATATAGGAAAAATGGTCAGGGCCCCTCAGATGTTCAGAATCTTGCCAAGCATTTGATGTAAACGGGCATATGCGCTCAGGTGTTCCTTGGTTATCGTCTAGTGTGATTGCGCATGTGCACCCAGGTGTCCTAGGTTATGGACTTAAGTATAAGGATGAGTGACCCTGATCCATGGCACCTCTCATCCCCAGGATGTCCCCCCGTGGGGGGGAGGGGTATGGGGAGGCCACTACTGCTGCTGGAGGCCTGCTGCTGCTGCTAGTGCGCCCAGGACCTTCTACAAGGCCACGGCCACTGCCGGACTTGTAAGTTGCTGCAGCTGAGGAAGCTGAGGACTGAACTCATGTTATCTGCCAACAGCTCCTGGAATCTTTCCCAATTACCTAGCATAGACCTGCATGTGAGGGGTCTGGGGACCCAGACTGTACAGTGGATTTGGAGCGACTGAGCCCTAGCTTTGACAATATAAATGGAAACTTAGTATAACTAAAATAATAACTAAAATAACAAAAGCATTTTGGCTTTAGTTATTATTTGCCTTACTTTACATCCCCACCATAACAATGACAAAATCCTATAAAAGATCTATATTTAGTTGAGGTAATGACATAACATTGAGGTAGGTAACTGACATCAAAGTCCCATGCTTCACAAACATCTGCCCTTGCTAAGTATGGCCTTACAAAAAGAGGGACCTTCATCCATTTCTTCTTAAAGGTAAATATCAGAATTTATAAAAACTGCCTGCTTATTATGTATCTCTACCTCTAATTTAGCTTCAGCAAATGAAGCTGGCCAGTCATTATCAACTCTGCCTAAAAGGTTTTGATAATGAAATACACATCTTCTCACAATGGCCTGGGAAAAATTTCTGTTACGGGGTTTTCTTTGTTTTTGATTTGCATGTTTTCTTTCAACACTAATACCACCATACAGGTACATCTGTTTAACAAAAAACTTCCAAATCACTAGCAGGAATACAAGTATACAGAAGTTACTCTAGAGTTCATTGTAATGGAATCTCACCTATAAATAATATCTAATCACTATGAGAATTAATTTTTCTTTTTCTTCCTGGAAACCAGAGGCCTATAAAACTGCTAATTGATAATATGTACTACACAAAGCCAATCAAAATGGTGACAATGAAGACTAAAGATTTAGGGATTAAAAATGGTTTTGTTTTTAAAAGAAAAAAAGCTATATCTTTGAAATACTAATTACTTATACTTTTACCACATATGTTAATAACACCTTACATGTTCTATACAAAATTAAAATCTTTTTCTAACTTCTCAATAAGATTCCAAACTCTCCCTATGACCATGTCTAGTGTATATAGTTTTTAGAAAACTGTGAATTTGTTTACTACTTATTACTTCACCTAAATAAGCAATTTAAAGTCTGAATACTGTTTTTGATAGAAAATTCATATTTCTATGTAATTTTTTAAAATAATTACAGTTAAAAAAGGAACAATCTCAAAAGTGTCGGTACTGTTTGTATTCTGAAATCACAGTTCATATGGTTAGGTACAGATTAAAACATTGGCAAGAAAAATCCTATTTTCCATACTCCTACCTGTTGTTTGCCCATCACCACCTATTTCGACTTTTAGAATATGCAAAGAGGCACCAAAGTATGGCTGTGGAAAGAAGTAATAGTATTAATACCATGCTTCATCATGTGACACCTCAAGACAATTACTAATTACTGCCTTTGGCTTTACAGATGAGAAAAACAAAAGCAAAACTTCAAACAGCAATTTATTCCAAAAGAAATCTGCCATATTTTTCAAAAACTGGAATTGTGAAGCTGATAAAATTCTATGAGTGAAATTCACCGTACAGTTTCTAAAATGTCACAGGTACCATTAAATAATTATTCATTCATTACCTTAAAGAGATAATCCAATATTTGAGAACGATAAGGCTCTGGGTAATTTACCAGAAGTCGAGAGGTTGCCTAAAATAGAAGTTTTCAAAAGCATAAATAAACAAATTCAATAATGAGTACCTGTCCATAGTGTGCATACACACCACCCACCCGGCATGCCCATATTTGCCAGTTCTTAGGCAAGGTGGAGCTGTGGAAAGTCATTTCCCAGGTTGTTTGTTTGACTGCCCTTGCTTTGCCAATCATTAAACAAGGAGGGCTCTCGTCTGTTTAACAGCTAAAAGTTTCTCTTCTGGGATGAGGGTTAGCCGGGAGGTAGGCTTGCTAATAAGGCTATTGTTGAACCTCATGATTACAAACCTACCTTGAAACAGGTTTTCTATCTTAAGACCATTTGCCAACAACAATATCTCAGGGCTAGTATGGGAAGGATGTATCTCAGGTAATTTTCCACTTCAACATCTTATAGGGACTTATCATAAGCAGCAATGCTGAAATGAAGCACTACTCTCCTCATTCTTCTGTTACTATGAAGAATGACCACACAATGATGCCAGACAAGGCTATACTAAGGAAATGTCACACAAGACTGGCATCAGAATACATGATAAGACACAGGTGGAAAGTGCAGGAACCAATACTTGATCATACCTAGATCGCGGCCAATGGCTGCTTGAAAAATGAAATCACAAAACAAAGAACTGACCCATAATCTATCCTTTGGGAGGCCATATAAGCAAGGGGAATAAAAACAGGTAGGTTTTCAGCATAAACAGTAGCATGTAGCCAGTCTTGGAAGCCAGACAGCCCTACATTCAAACCACCAACATCTTGCCAGATGTATGACAGGTCAAGATACTTTGCATTTATGGTGTTCAACATCCTATTTTATATTCTCATATATGCTGCCACTGACATTCTGGTTGTGCCCACGTCTACTCTCTCACACCCAGAATGTCCCCAGTTCCAGCCACTGAGCCACAGACCCATGGAGATGCCCTCTAGCCACCCATCCTATCTAGCTGAACACATCCCAAACTAAACACAGCTTTTTCGCCTAAATCTGTTCCTTCTCCTGCATTGTCATCTGCCTAAACCATAAAATTAGGCTTACCCTTTCACCAAACTTCCCATCCATCATCAGTCACCAAGATGTCCTTAATATCTCTCAAATCCATTCCCTACTCTTCAATCCCACTGACTTACCTTGGCCCTCATCACTTAATAGAAAAGCCTAAATGGTCTCAAGAACCCCATTCTGCCTCCCTATATTGTCTTCCATATTACTAACATTAATCTTCCCAAAACACAAATGTAATCATGAACTACTGTGTTAAAACCTACTAAGACTTCCCCTTTCCCAATAGCTTTCAGGATAAAGTTCAAATTACTCAGTTTTGCACCCAAATCCCCTATTTGTATCCTAACTCTGACACTTTACCCCTTATCACTCTCACACCTTCTATCTAAGTATCTCAAACTACTTTTCTTTCTGCCTGGAATGTACCCGCATCCTCATTTGGATAACTGTAATTCATCCTTCAGCTTTTGGCTCAAACTCCACATCTTCAAAAAAGGATACCTTCTGTCCCTGCCCATTGACGAAAGGTAAGTACCTCTCCTTTGAGTCCTCATGACACCAGGTCCATATCTCTAGCATAACACTTCCAACCCTGTGCCCTAATTGCTGCTTTACTTTTCTGTCTCACCTCTAAGTTCCTTGAGGACACAGACTGCGTCTTATTCAAGTTCATATCCCCATTCTTTCTTATTCATTAAACACCTGTTTAATACCTTTGTTACTTTTTGTTGCACTAGTGCAGGCAACACAGTGTAAGAGGCTGAGTCAAATAGACCAAGCATCCCGATTCCATCATTTACAAGATATATGATCACGAGCAAAGTATTATAAAGTAGGTTATTTTCCTCACCCAGCTGTAGTAAGACTAAAATAAGATGTATGTAATAAAGAACTTACAACAGTACCTGGCACATAGTAAGCTCTCAACAAATGGCAGATGTTATAAACACAATTATTAAAAATACATCATTTTCAAAGACCTTACAGCCTAGCAAAAAATCAAATATTAAAGCAGGCAGTGGTTAAATGAATGAACAATATATATGCACACTAACATATCCTTGACCCTAGATAAACAATGCTTCATGCCCTGAATTACGCCATTAGAACTGTGTATTTTGTTGTTTTGGTGTTATCTTTCCCTCTACACAGTCTTACCCTTAATACAGAAAGTACCACCTTTACACAAACACACCACATTATTACACTTTTGCAAACCTATAGCCACAACCAATGCAAAAGCCTTAGTCAAAGGCAATATAACCAAATGTTGAAATGCACCAGTTAGCAATAATGAATTATCAGATTACTAACTGCACTGCATGAATAAGGCCTGGAACTGTTTACAGGCCCAAGAAGCAGCCATGGGAACATTTCTTCATTCAAAAACCTTGAAATAACTTCCTCCTCCCTAAACCTGAAACCAGTTATTAACCAAAACTAGTCAGCAGATGACATCTGTGATAACACTAAAAGCCAGGTCACCCACACAGCAAGAACGCATTCAAACCTGTTCTGAGTTAAATCTAAGGATGCAAGCTCCATCTGACTCAACCAAAAACAAAGAGTTCAGCCTCAATATTTTCAAATAAAATTAGTTCTGGACATGATCTGGGGTACAGAACAAGGAAACAAAACCCCTCTCACCTAACGGTTGGCCACCATAAACCCCAAGGCCCCAAAGATTACAAACAGAAGGGGGTATAACAAAGGATGGGACAAGGGCAAGTAAATATTGTTAGGAGCCGGGAACAATCATACTATATTCAAGAAACCTCCCAGGCCTGAAGCCACCTGTTGGCATGACCAGGGAGCTAAGGAAATGACCTGCTGCGCCCATCACAATTTGCAAAAAGCTGTAATTGCCCTCATGTTTCTTCTCAAGTAAATCCTACAGCATGCCCACATAAAAAGAACTCATCCGAACTTCACAGTCCAGAGAAGTCTAAGAATACATGCCAATTAAATATAAAGTGGTATCCTGGAACAAAAAAAGGGCATTGGGTAAAGTCTAAAGAAATTTGAATGAAGTATGGACTTTAATTATTAATAATGTACCAATATTGATTGTGACAAATGTACCATCCTAATGTGCAATAGTGATAAGAGAAACTGGCTGCGGAGTGTATGAGAACTCTGTATTGTCAAAACTTTTCTGTAAAACTAAAACCATTCTGAAATTTAAAATTAAAAAAAAAAATCCACTGCTCCTGAGATCCTTGAATCAGGAAAAAGCTCTCTCAATACCTAGTATGACAATTAACCGGTGTATTTGTTAAAATGCAAATCCTCAAGTCCCGCTCCAGAAGAACAACGAATGGTTCAGGGAAGCACACCTGGTGATTCTTATTCTTAAGTGGAGAACCAACATTTCCCACCTCTTTGCACACAGAAATAGCCACCAATTAGGCATGGAGGTACTGGCCCTTCCAGAGGGTAATTCACCCTCCACAGAATAACAGTACATGACAGTAAAAAGTCCTAGGCTAGGCCAGCCCAGTGGCGCACTGCTGCAGTGCGCCACTTGGGAGCGCGGCGGCGCTCCCGCCGAGGGTTCGGATCCCACATACAGACCGGCCGCTCACTGGCTGAGCGAGGTGCGGGCGCAACACTGAGGGTTGCGATCCGTTGCCAGACACGAAAAAAGACAAAAAAAAAAAAAAGAAACCCATTAGTGTCAGAGAAAACTGAACACAAATTTTAAAACAAGCAAAAATTAAGGTGTTTTACTGACTGGGCCTTCACGCATGGGTTCCATTCCTGGAGGAAATAACAGTGTTTCTGTCAATCTACACATATATATTTTTTAAGGAAAAGTTGAGGTCCAGTTCCTATATCTGATGACCTGGATAATATTTACCAATTGCTTAAGGTGCACTCAAAGGCCTTTTAACACATTTAAAAATGAAATAGATACAGATCAGACTGTTGAGTTTCTGCCTAAATTTGAATATTGACAAAGAATTATGTATTCACCGAGAATCTTGCTGTTAATTATGACCGTTTGCCATTGTGCTTTCTGAAGGAATTTGAAGAATGTCTATTAATTATTCACATAAGATACATTAAGGGCTGACTATTAATAAAAAGGAAAAAGAACTCCATTACCCTGAAAAAAATACTAGCATTAATTTTTAAAATTTAAAAGTCCCAGATAGTTTCAGGCCTCTTATCTTCCTAAAAAGACCTTGAGACAGCAGTTATGCCTCCAAACAAAAATATACAGCACTCTTCCCTCTGAAAGAGCCCCAGTGCACCCAGCACCCTACACTAGTGACTAATAGATCTGCAACATAACCAGCACCACTTTAGACAAGCCCAAGTACAAAAAAGAGCCGCCCACCTCCTCCCCTCCCCGCTTCCCTTTAGGAGAAGCCTCCTGACTTAAACAGAAACCCCTTTTGTTTCTGCAAGGATGCAGTTCTCCACCCTGATCCACATTAGCATAATGACCCTCCTGGATGGGATCACCCAGCTCTTGGCACCAAAACACCAATATAAGATCCCACTGTCCTAGGTTAGCTGCTGTCCCCTATTTTCAGGGCAGCCCTGGGCTACCTGCTACTTTGAGCACAGCCCGGCAGACTTCTTCCTTTAATAAAGTTTGAACAGTACCTGGCCTCTCGGCTCATTTTCTTTCTTTATGGTGCCGAAACGTTTTGGCCGACGTTGTGGATGATACCCTCTCTCTGGTGGTGATTGGCCCTCAGCCGCCCTTCCCGGACCTGCTGAAACCAGGTACACTCGGGACTCTCTCTCCTTTTGCCATTTCAAACCAATGCATCCAACACCAGCCTCAATTCAGGGCGAGTCAGGGGGTCTGTCCTGCCTACTTCTATGGTTCCCCTGACTACTCTCTCTCTATGACTCAGGCCTCTACGAAAGCCCAGGTGTCTGGCCGAGGGAACCTTTCTCGTGCCCCCCAGCTATTGAAGGATGCTTCATTAGCTGGTCAGTGGGCTTTTTTCTCTCAAAAAGAAAGTGGGCA